ATCCAATTTCATGTTGTGTGGGGAAGGAGAGTCGCGACTATGTGCGGCGTCGGAGAACGGCCTGAGAGAAGGAGGGGAAACCAGGCCACGAGCCGCTCAAAAAGCCAGCCCGTCTATGCAAAGGAGTCCCGAGAATCGAGTAGATGAGAGCGCAAAGAAAGAAGGAAAGTCCCCGACCGGAATGGCCAGCAAGGTCAACGAAGATGTTCAGGGACTGGCAGCGATGTGTCCACAAGGAGACGGAATCCCGCCAGCTATCTGGAACCGGCTAGCCATATGGGGCTCACCGCCTACGGTTTGTGATTCCTATTGAGCATCAAACATCAACCCTGCATCACTTCTTAAGATATAGATGCTTGTGGATGCCTTTCTCTTTGTAGATTACCTGGGAAGGGAATTCCTGTGTGTAGATGCGACCATTGTAAGCACCCCATGGGGTGTTTGCAGTAGTCATCAATTAAAGCAATGAACTATACACATCACACGCATCATTTGCACCAGCTCCCTTAGTTTCTTTTCTTCAAGGGGACATTTGTAACCAAATATAATGGAATTCATCACTAATTCTATGAATTTAACCCCATAAAAAAAGAAATTGGCCTGGCATTGGCATCGAATTTTGTTTCACACAACCATAAGATAATAATTACAAGCAGATGGGGAATCTAGTTTCGGATCCTCCATTCATGAGAAAACCATTCTATGCTTACTCGGTCTTGCGCTCAAAGTAAGACCACTGGCCGGGTCTGGGCTTCTCGGAAAGCTCCTCCCAACTAAGCTAACGTTAGCATCTCTGGCTTCAATCAAAACTGGTCGATCGGTCAACTTACGCGGAAGTCTTGTACAGCTCGTCAACAACCTTCAACTCGCCCTCAGCAACCTCAATGACCTCCTCAATCAGGCCGGCGCCAATCTGTCTCTCAATTTCGGCGATCCTAGAAGAATTGGTCAGCATCTCCACGGAACGGTAGCATAGCTCAGAGATGATGCCACATACTGCTCAGCCTCCAGGGCGGGCTCGTTCTCCCACTTCATCTGTGAGGTGTAGAAGTCTGATTCGGCAGTGGGCTTGGTAGAGTCCTCAATGGCCTGGTGCCACCGCGCTTCTTCCTCTGCCGTACGAGCGGGGCCCTCGGTAGTAGGTTCGATGCTCTCTCCATCCCATTCCTGACCACGGGGGTTGTCGGTACCATCTTCACGCTGCCAGGCGGCATATGTACCGTCAGGACGGCGAAGAGAGGCGAAGCGCTCGGGCTCTTCAGCCACGGCCTTCTTCACACGCTCCAACCAAGCATCGAATCCGGGCGGCTTCGTGGACTCGACGATCTGCAGGCGGTGGCGGGTCAATGCTTCGGTAGACTGGCGGTAGACGGAGGACTCGGGGAAGGCCTTCAGCTTGTCCAGGGTGGACTTGTAGAGGAAGATCAAGGTCGGGCGAGGGCTAGGGTGAGTGACGAGGCCGGTCAAGCCGGTAGGAGCGAAAGGCTCCAAGTAACGAGCCGGCTTCACACCGGCGAGCAACCGGAATGTAGACCTCATTATGACTGGAGGTTGTGTAATTGGGTATAAGGGTCGGGGTGGTGACAGACCCAATGGCAGAGGATAAGCGGGAATAGCGGCGCTGTCAGTCGTCAAGATACCACACTGGATCGGGATCGATGCGCGAAGGGTTGAGGTCCCGTGTCGGGGCGCGGAGAAACCGTGGCGCCGGGGGGACATTCTCCCTCAGTCTCTCCCTGCGGCTCTCGTGAGCACCTCACTTGGTCGGCTTATCGCTTTCTCTTGTAGGAGTGTTCTTCCTGCATTCTTTCTCTCAAAGAGCCTGCGGATCGCCTCCGCAGTAGTCTCTGAGCTTAGCTCATCTTTTTTCTTCTTCTTCTTTTCCTCAGTAGTTGTCTTGCTGATATCTCTTTCGCCCCCCTCCAACAAGGGGTACATTCAAGCGTGTCCCTTGGCGATTCTAGACCGTCGTTAGTTCAATGTGCCACCTGTGACGCCCCGTCCTGACTTCTTCCACTACTCCTTCGACCCCCGAAATTCGAACCGTCCCTCTTTATTCAGTCACACTTCTAAGGTCAAAGACTTTACGCTACAGCCAGCATGAGGGTCTCTTTGCTGGCGTGGTCCCTACTCTCTCTTTTCTCGATTCCCGCCTTAGCCGCCCCCTCCGATAATGTCTCTCCCAGCCATCACCTCGTAAAGAGAGGCGACTCCGACGTGAAGTCGGAGGGTCAGTCGACTACCTTCAATGGGATCGAGGTCCCGCCTATGAAGGCTTTGACTCCCGACAACTTCGATGACACGATCAAGGACGGTTACTGGTATGTTGTCTCTTCATTCTATATGTACCGTTGGTCCTCCAGAAAGCTGACAAGAACCTAGGTTCGTCAAGCAATACTCTCCGTCCTGCCCACACTGCCAGAAGATTGCCCCTGCATGGCAGACACTCTATGAATTCTACTACGTGAGTTAATCTCTCGCGCATTGAGTCAACATCGCTCCTTGCCAGCAGCATCCACTAATGTCCCACTAGACCTCCGATCCTTTGTCCTCGTCGTCTTCCAAGTCATCCAACACCGATTCGCTGAACTCATTCCATGGCTTTTACAACTTCCATTTCGCCGAGATGAACTGTCTCGCGCATGGCGATTTTTGCCGGAAACTCGAAGTCAAAGAGTTCCCCACTTTTGCGCTGTATCACAACGGTGAACTGGTTGAACGGTTCACTGGAAAGAGGAGTATGGAGGGTATCAGCGAATTCGTTGAGGAGAAGCTGGAACAGATCAAGCCTGGTTCGCGGCCTGCCCAGGGTCTCCATCTCCCCAAGCCTGGCGACAAGGGAGTGGATACTCAGGCTCAGCCCGAGGCGCCCGTCGCCAAAGATAAGGATCGTGAGGCGGGCACCAAGGCTGGAGAAAAGCACAACGAGCAGGCTGCACAGCTGGCCGAGGACGAGACACCCGCAGACAAGGTGTCGTCCAAGTCCAAGCCTAAGCCCAAGCCGGCCCCAGCAAACCCCCAGGGTATCTCTGTCCCTCTCACCGCGGAGAGCTTCCAGAAGCTGGTCACCACCACTCAGGATCCTTGGTTCATCAAGTTCTACGCACCATGGTGCCACCACTGTCAAGCATTGGCTCCCAACTGGAGGGAAATGGCAAAGGAGATGCAGGGTGTTCTCAATGTGGGCGAAGTGAACTGCGATGCGGAATCCCGACTTTGCAAAGATGCCCGTGTCAGCGCCTTCCCGACAATGTATTTCTTCCGCGGCGGTGAGAGGGTCGAGTATACCGGTCTCCGTGGCCTCGGAGATTTGGTCAGCTACGCCAAGAAGGCTGTTGATGTTGGATCCGGTGTACAGGATGTCGATGCCACCACCTTCAAGGAGTTGGAGGAGAAAGAGGACGTCATCTTCCTGTACTTCTATGACCATGCGACCACCTCGGAAGATTTTGAAGCTCTCGAGCGCCTGACTCTTAGTTTGGTCGGCCATGCCCGGCTTGTCAAGACGAACAGCGCTGCTCTTGCGGAACGGTTCAAGATCTCGACCTGGCCACGCCTCCTTGTGTCCCGCGACGGTCGCCCCAGCTACTACAATGCGCTTGCTCCTAAGGATATGCGGGACTTCCGCCAGATTCTCAATTGGATGCGCACTGTGTGGCTGCCCATTGTTCCTGAGCTCACCGCCTCAAACGCACGGGAGATCATGGACGGCAAGTATGTGGTCCTTGGCATCCTGAGCCGGAAGCATTCGGACGAGTTCCTTCAATCGAAGCGAGAGCTCAAGAATGCCGCCCTTGAGTGGATGGACAAGCAGACGCAGTTGTTCCAGTTGGAGCGTGCTGAGCTGCGTGACGCTAAGCAGCTGCGGATCGAGGAAGCCGAAGACCGTAACGACCAGCGTGCCTTGCGGGCCGCCAAGAACATGCGCATTACCATCCGCGAAGATGACAAGAAGCAAGTCGGTTTCGCTTGGATTGATGGCGATTTCTGGGAACGGTGGCTGAGAACCACATACGGCATCGACGTCGAGAACGGTGAACGCGTGGTTATCAATGATCAGGATGTAAGTGACTACAACAGAATAGTTAATCATCTGCTAGGACTTGAAGCTAATCTATCTTTTCTAGAACCGGCGCTACTGGGATACGTCTTCCAGCGGAGCTTCTATCATGGCTTCCCGGACCTCCATCCTTGAGACCATCCCCTTGGTCATCGCCAACCCACCGAAACTCACGCCCAAGTCCACAGTCGGTACCTTTGAGTCTGTCTTCTTCTTCACTCGGACTTTCATTAGCGGTCACCCGATCATCTTCTTTATCATCCTGACGCTTTCGGTGGCTGGTGCTACAATTGTAGCCCGGGGAAGGAGTCTCAGACGCGGGGCTCGTGGCGGAATACTCGGGGTTACTGGTAACACCGGTGGTGGTTTCTTCAACCTTGATGGAAAGGAAGGTCTTCTGAACGGTGGATCGACCGGCAAGGTTGATTGATCCCATAATATGGGCATTGTACAGTTACTTCTTTTATACCTTTTTCCACGCCCTAATTTCGTGTCTATCTTGGACGTTTACTGGGTTGCTATATGTTTACCAGGATCTCTGGGTTCTTCATATTGACGATTCTACTCTTATACTTTTGTCTGTTATTTTGTCCCAAATGGTGTTAAAATATGGCGCTACTGTTGTACACAAATTCCCTTTGAAACTTTCACTGTCTTCCAGTTGGCCATACACAAACAAAAATGTGCCCATAATAATCAGGCCTTTTGAATTATCTTTTCAACGGATGCTATGCTGCAGTAGAGGTTGAATGCTTCGACTCACGCATTTTTATGGTAGACATAAATGATGGCATGAGCAGTGGAAATGCACGGCCTCTGATTTGACCAATCATAGTGTCACGTGAATGCCAATTGCCGGTCGCTGATTGGCTATCGGAAGCCGCAAGCACTCAACGTCGCGGAGTCTCCCGGTTTTCGTCGACAGCCTCAGACTTCAAGTGCAGCTGCCGTCATCCTTTGCTGGAGCAATTGTCGTTGCCGGACGTGCTTCTTTAGACCCAGTCAATATGGTATGTCTTTCCCCAGAGTTTCTTCGTGTGGCCTTCATCCTACCAGTGTTCTGTCGGGTTCTTTGAGCTTGCCCACTGTTCAACTGCGTCGGGAGCCGTTATCCATGTTACTATGATAGCGACTTGAACCCTGTTTGAGCACAACTAGTGAACCAGTGCTGATTTCGTCCTTCTCGCCGATAGGTTTTCTCTCAGACTCTCCGCCGCGCCGCCGCCCAGAGCGCCGGTGCCTACCGCTCCCCTTTCGCTCCCAAGTGAGAACCCCCGATATCCCATCTTCGGTCGAGATACGAATATACAAAGTGTCCATGGTGGCTTGGGTTGGGTCAGCGAGGCGGGGTCCCTGCTGCTAGCTCTGGGTACTGCAGATTGTACTTGGCAAAACTATCCCTACTGCTGCCATACCCTGCCTCTGACGAGGATACAAGATCCAACTAGAGAGCCACCAATCCAGCCGGGACTGCAAGTGGTATATGGAAGCGACGTACTGACTGTGGAATAGGTACCACACTCCCCTTCACTTCCACGGCCTCACCACCGGCCTGGCTACCAAGTAGTAAGTTCCTCCCTAAGTTCCAAGACTACCCCTCGTCTTTGGCTTCCTGACAGGTCAGCTTACACGTTGGGCACATCTAGCGCTACCATTGCTGGCACCTTCGGTGTCGCCGCCGGTACCTTCGCCCTCTTCTTCTTCGGCGAGATCCCCCGTGTTCGCCGCGACATTCTCCAGAAGGTTCCTTTCCTCGATGAGTACTTCGACCGCACGATCGCTCCCGAGGACAACGTAAGTGCCTTTCCCTCATACCGCTCCAGTGGCACCAGCAATTGGGATTGAGAGCTATGCTAATAATCGTCTAGCCCTTCTAAATTGGTGCCGTATGGGATATGCTTTTCCGACCATCTATAAGAACCCACCCAGCGTGGATATGCCACCTAGCGGATGGATGGTGAAGAAAAGAGGGTGCTGTACGTGTAGAATAGCGATGAGTTTCTGATAGCACATAGACACTGGCTGCTTCATTCATATTTTCCAGTAACATTAAGACGCACTGTTTGTCTGTGTCTACGTGAGACTGCCAATGGCTCTCCAGGGGCACACGCATGCCTTGTAGCCTCAGGTTCCGAACATATCTCCCGCCCCAGGCACATCAGGCTTCTTCCTTTACTCCTCCCCCCAACCACAGCCTTGATATTTACGTCTACACATGCACAATTTTAGGCCTATAGTCCGTGTTAAAACGTTAGCCTCAAGAGTTCGGTCACTGGACCACTCAGGGCTAGTCATTCTATCTCTGGCGCCGGACTATAGGAACGCATTACAGCACCGTTCGAGTGCTGCGCAGCGCAGTCTCAGGTCGACTATCGCTGATAAACTCCGAATAGTCACAATTTCAATTCCTCAAGCCACCATGGACCTTCGCGAAGATGTATGAACGATGTGGCTTGAAGGGATTTGGAGGCTGCCATTCGCGAGAACTCCATGGATGAATGACCAGTGAGGAGACTGGTATCAAACGCAAGGTAAGAGTGGCTCCCGTGGTGTCCATGCAAGTTGTATGCGGGGGCTGATACAGGAGTCTAAGCATCGTCTAGGGACCACCGACTAACACACACTATGTAGACACACTATAGCTACGGTGAGACCGCTGAAAATGAACGAAATTAACCCCGCTACTCTCATAAAGGCAGGTATAGCCTGCCAAATCAGCGGAGAGCGACTCGTTTAATACCAGCCAATTGTTACTTTCATTGACAGGTCATAAATTCAGCCAGCTCCAGATGCTGCCGTCCGTCTTATCATCGACCCGTTAGAAACACTTTGATATTCGTTCGATGCTTATCATCCGGCAGTCAAAGCACCCAATAGCCAACCAGTTGCTTCCGATAAGCCCGAGTGGATGGATTCCCCAGCTTCTGGGTCATTACTTTAGCGTCAAGTTCAAGGGGTTCTCCGAGTTTTGTCTTCGCTCGCGGCGCCTGAAGTTTCCCAGCCAAGTATGGTGCATGCCAAGCTTCAGGTCTCTGACCAGCAAGGAGCTGCATCCTATCTCGTCTCGTCTTTAGCGAGTCATCCTACTCGTTCCTGCTGGTTGACTGCAAGTGACAGTCTTTCCTTCCGGTCATCCAGTGAGATCGTGACCAGCTGCCAAGCGTATCAGCGCTCGATCCCCGCTTCGCTTGCACCCAGCTTCAGAGGTACCTGAGCTCCTTAAGGCGTTTATCGTGTTACACCAGCATTCCACCTATCTTACTCAAGGCTTTGGCTATCAGTATTAAGAGTTTGCAGGACGGGACGTGTCTTGTGCAGATAAGATGGCAGTATTGATTTCCCGAAAGCCACTCATATATGTACTGGCGCATGACCCTGTCTGTCCCGCAGTCACTCTATGACTTATTTTCTACTCACCTGTGTTTTCCATACTTATACTGCTTGACATCTGTCTGAGAAGAACAAATGAAAGTTTGAGTCTGAGCTAGCAAACGCCGCATCTTTGCGTTGCTTGCTTTTTCTTCCGTCCACGTTACTTCCTGCCCCGCCGTTCCCACTCCCCAGCAGCAGCTTACTGTACACACATCACCTCTTATTACATAAATGGTTCCTTCATAATGTCTGGTACGAGCAGCCATAAGGCTGTCTCCAAAGGAGCAGTGTTCGCGGATGTCGACCATGACCCCGTCACGACCATTCTGCCTCAGGGCGACGTCCCTTATACCGATCATGCGATGGATGCGGACGAGAGGGTCATCGTGGCCCTGGGGTACAAGCAAGAATTCAAACGCGAATTCTCGCTATGGACAACCTTCTGTGTCAGCTTTTCGGTGCTAGGATTGCTTCCATCATTTGCAAGCACGATATACTACGGTAGCTGTTCCTGGATTCATCAATATGAGGGGTAGGGCTGACTGTCACAAGGAATGGGCTATGCAGGTACAGCCGGTATGGTCTGGGGCTGGATCATCGCGATGATTTTCATTCAATGCGTTGCCATGTCCATGGCTGAGCTATGTTCCGCGATGCCCACCAGGTAAGATTCTCCTGAGTTGCGTACTATAGGAGTATAAAACTGACTTTGACAGTGGTGGCCTTTACTACGCCGCAGCGGTCCTTGCGCCTCCAAAATATGGACCCTTTGCCGCTTGGATCACAGGATGGTCGAACTGGATTGGGCAGATCACCGCAGCACCATCTGTGGACTACGCGCTTTCTGCAATGATTCTCGCCGCTGCGTCGATACAGAACCCAGACTATGTCCCCACTAACTGGCAAGTTTATCTTCTAACAGTGCTCGTTCTCATAATCCATACGGCCATCAGCAGCATGCCCACTATATGGGTGGCTCGTGTCAATTCCTGGGGCTCAACATTCAATATCATCGCCCTCGTCATTACTCTCATCGCCATTCCTGCTGGGACTACGAATGAGCCCAAGTTTTCCTCGTCCAAGGACGTCTGGGGCACCATCACCAACCTCACCGACTTTCCCGATGGTGTTGCCGTTTTGATGACTTTTGTCGGGGTCATTTGGACCATGTCTGGCTACGACTCGCCCTTCCACCTAAGCGAGGAATGCTCCAATGCCAATGTCGCCTCGCCTCGTGCGATCGTAATGACCTCAGGGGCTGGTGGCTTGATGGGATGGTTCTTGCAGTTAGTCGTCGCTTACACTGTCACCGACATTGATGGAGTCATAAACTCGGACTTGGGCCAGCCCTGGGCCTCGTACTTGCTCCAGGTCGTGCCACGCAAGACTGCCCTGGCCATATTAGCCCTCACCATCATCAGCGGTTTCTCCATGGGCCAAGGCTGCATGGTGGCTGCCTCACGAGTAACCTACGCCTACGCACGAGATGACTGCTTCCCCCTATCCAAATACTGGAAAATGGTCAACACGCGCACCCAAACCCCGGTCAATGCGGTGATCCTCAATGGTGTCCTGGGAATTCTCATGTGTCTGCTGGTTCTAGCCGGCGATGTAGCCATCGGGGCGTTGTTCTCTATTGGCGGCATCGCTCAGTTTGTCGCTTTTGCCATTCCCATCGCGATTCGGGTGTTCTTCGTTGGCCACCGGTTTCGTAAAGGTCCGTGGCATCTGGGCCCCTTTGGGCCCTGGATTGGAGGAATGGGTGTGGCGTTTGTGCTTCTCATGGTGCCCGTGCTGTGTCTGCCTAGTGTCACGGGTTCTGATCTGACACCGGATCTGATGAACTGGACGTGTCTGGTCTGGGGAGCGCCAATGCTGGGGGTGACTATCTGGTGGGTTGTGGATGCGCACAAGTGGTTCACGGGACCAAAGGTCAATGTGGAGCACGCAATCCACGCTGCGGATGCGGCTGTTATAGATGGCGTGGGAGCAGATGAAGACGTAGTGCAAGATGATGCGTCGAGCAAGGCTTCTGCGAGGTAGTTTTGCCTCACTACACTGTTCAGGTTACGTTCGTTCTAATGTTTGGCTACAGTCGTCCACAGACGCCGCATACAGTCTTGTAAATAATTCGGCATTGCGTCAATATACTGCTAAATTAGTATTATATCTCGGGATCAGTCGATATAATTACCCATCGTTTAGGTAAGAGCATCCTATAGTAAAGGACAAAAGCATCCTCGCACTGCCACTGGCATGGGTCATTATTTGTAGTGGGAAGGGAGAAGATCGTGTTCATCATCAGCAACCAATTCTCTTCTCCACAGCGAGGATCCACCCGCATTTAGGCCACAGAAGCCTCATATAGAATTCAGCCCTATTTATGGACCCTATCAGGGAACTAGTTTGGTTTCCGTGAGGATCTCCAGATATTTGCGGTTGTTACCATATTCTAGACATGTGTGCGAAACAGGGAGCAGGGAAGTGCCGACAACTCATTGACAGGGCAATATAGCTTCAAGTATTTATACCTCAGTATTTATCTCCCACATCCAACATGGTATCTCGAGACTCTCGCTTCTTGGCCACTTCTCGCTATCGATAGACTCACCATGTCACGCCTCTTGCTATTCGCATTTCGCAAACTCCTCAACACCTTCATCCGTACCGCAAGAAACGATCCACTACTCGCCAACACCCATGGACTCTTCCAAGAAAGTCCTACCGAACCACCCCAAAATGTGCTAGAATTGACCTTGGCCATTCTAGGACTGTCCCTCGAATTTATAGTAAGCAACCCAGTCCCCACCCTTCGAAGATGAGCACAACCTAACAAGTACGCCATCACCACATCTAAATCCGCTATATCATCGGCAACCGTGTGATGTCCCTCCTCATTCTCGACACCATCGATAGCAACCCTCCCAACCCCAACAAGGACAGGGACAAGGACGACAACAAGAAATCAAATCCAAAGCCTACCACCACCCGCAACCTCCTTCAAACCCTCACCACCCTCCACCGCGAAGAAGGACTTGTCTCCCTCATCAACGGCTTCCATTACACCATCTACTACAATCTGAGGTACTTTATAGTCACAGGTCTGCTCACATCGCCTATCGCACGCTTCCCTGAGCCGCTCGCACACATCATCGCCTCCGTCGCTCTCGCCGAATTCCATTTCTTCCGGACAGCAGGAGCTATCCTCCCTCCCGCTGAGCAGATGCGCTACGTGCCTCTTAGTCTTGATTATTATCGGTGGAATGCTCTTCTCCTGCCGACGCTGCTTTACGCTAGTGCTGAGACGATCATGATGTATGTGCCAGAGTTACTTCTTGCCCCGGTTCGATTCGATGGTGTGCTGCTGCAGCCGGAGGACTTGACGGATGTTACTTCCCTCGTGAGATCCGATGTTCTTGTCGCGGGACTTATGCTCGTTGCTCAGGTTCTGGTTTTGCTCCCGGCGTGTATTGTGCTTATTGTGGTGGAGGGGAGCTTGGTACCGGGGGATTGTGAGACGTTGATACCTTTGCCGAAGGAGGGTGAGAAGATGGGGGATGGTGATAACCAGATTGTTTTGTGGAAGGAGGAGGATGAGAATGACAATGAGGATGAGGAGTACCCAAAGCAGAAAGGCAGGCTCATCAAAGACCTCTTCAGGTTCAAGGGACCATTGCATGTGCTTGATGTATTGGAGATGATTAGTATGAGGCAGTTGCTGTATTGTTTCGAGTTGCATGGGAAGATGTGTTTGTGTGTGGTGGGAGTTGCTACGGCGGTGCAGTCGGTGATGTATTTGGTGTCGTAGGGTTGATTCTGCTAGTCCGGGTTGTCTTTGACCTATCTAGTTGATATTGGCGAGTTCTGGTGTTGGGTTGCTTTTTGGTGCTGAACCCGCGAACAGAATGCTGTCTCTTCCATATGTGAGGAGTTTCAAGGCATGGCAGTATTGTGATCTCGTGAGAGGACAATGAGGGTGCAAATAGATATGGAGAGTATAGACAGCATTATGCATGAGAGGTAGAAAGGAGGCAGCAGGGAATTTCTTTCCCTTGACTGCGAAAGTATGATATAATTTGACCTTTCTAGATATTGGCTATTATTGCTGTGGTGACTTATAAGAACATGCGTTGCTCTTTCGCATAATAAGACTAGACGATTTTCGTGAATCCCTCTCTATCTTTATCATCAACCATATCTGCAGTACTTTCTATACCTGAACAATCAGTTAAGAAACAACAGTAGTAGCTAATAAAAATGCCAATTTATATCATTAGAGTGATTACTTATAGGGCTAGTGGTAGAAGTATTGCAGAGCTTTCAGGGACGTCTAATGATGGTGCCGTGAATATACCATGTCGCTACTAGGCCCTAAGAAAATGAGTATGAACCACATCAAGAGTAACAGAGATATATTTTCAAGACTTTTTTGATCATATGATGCAATATGAAACCAATTTTTTCGAAAATGATCTCAGCTGTATACCATGATAGTACTAGTACTACCAGTAGTAGTAGTGGTTCAGTTGCAGCCTTTGTGTATAGTATGATATTGAGGTGAAACCCACTTCAACCCAAACATACTATATATAACCACCACCACCACCATCCAATGAATCCAACAGAGACAACTACCACTCAATCCAATTATCATCTTAACCATATTAATGTAACATCACTATGCCATTCGAAATTATCCTTCCTATAAAATCACTCAACCATAATACCTTAAAAGTAGCTACTCCCTTAGTATCTATCTTATTATCGAGTCACACCACACTCCGTACATAAAACCATACCACACTTAGCAACAGCACCACTTAACCTAAGTTATACTCCATCAGCAAGCATAATCCCTACTGTACTACCTACTTACCCGATCCACACACACATACACGCCAGCCGCGCGACCACAAAACCCCATCCATCCATCCGTCCATCTCCACTACGCCTCCCCCTCCCCGATCGAACGAATGACTTTCCCGTCTTTGTCTCTTGCCCTGCAACCTCTGATGCGGGATTTTGCGGGCGTGCGGGCCAGAGGGTCATTAAATTTCCTGCAGGTACGCAGGTTGCAGTAGTATGTGTCTTACTAACTACTGTCTACTTAGTATCTATGGAGTGGAGGGATGGATGGATAGGTAGTGGGTAGTAGGGCTGGGATGTATCCATTTAGTTTTATCTATCTATCTGTCTATCTATCTGTCTATCTATCTGTCTATCTATCTGTCTAGTCAAGTCTATGTATCTATTCAATTTGTTTCAAAATTACATGGTGGTTTGTATGTAGTTTCATAGTAGACTGGTTTGGTTGGTTGGTTGGTTGGTTGGTACCTTTGTTGGTATTTATTAACGTAGGTAGTAAGTAGTTGATAGCCCATGATATTTTGTTTTTTATTATATTATTTATATGTTGTTTTCTATACGTAGGCAATGGTCCTTCACCGACTTTTACAACTTATTATTTTCGAGAGCTGCTGTGAAGTAGGCAAGTCGTTGCCTATCGTATCGGCAAAATGTCCCAGTGGTGTGTAAAATTACTGCCGACAAATTTTGTCGAGCATTCTTGGGGTCAAATGTCTAGCTAATTCTTCAGCAGGTTGGCTATGGTATGCTCTTCCGTCGGATGTTAACCCGTGTTGGGATGGACTTGCATTGACTATATGGTATAGCTTGTAACTTTATCTTTGCTTGAGAACCCAAGTCAGCGCCGAGAAAAAAGGAAGAGCACGAGTGGTAACTCCGTAGTTAGTAGGTAAAATTGAGTAGCGGGCTGAGGTGGGTTGGGGCTGGGGGGGGAGATTGATTGACAGGGGGAAGAAGGAAGAGAGGGGAGGTTGGTGGTGCTTGGCAATGAGAGTCCGTTATTCCGGTGTCCCGCCTGAGGCAGGCCCTCTAAACTCGCTAGTTGGTTGATTGCCTGGGGCTGACCCTCTTGTTGCGGTATTATTTTGCTTTTTGCATTATCATTTCTTGTGCCTCGGCAGCCGATGATGATGATATCGTTGTTTGCTGCTGTTGCTAGCGAGTTAACCTTAGTATTAATCATAGAATGACAGAATTAATGCTATAATAATAACAACAACAACAATAATAATAATTAAAATAATAACAATCGACATCTAAAGGAAGGTTGAATCAGCTTGCCTCTCAATTTTTTACCGTCTCTTCCCTATCTTAGACCGTGGAAAATACCTATTGGGGAAAGTCACAACAATCCTTTTCCAGCCTAGGAAGAAATTATAATCAGCCATATAGACTAGGCAGATAAACCTGGCTGTCTCACAATGAAATCCCAGTCCGCGTGGCTGCTTGTCGGCCTGTCGCCGGTGGCAAAAGTCTTATACACGACAACAGACAAGCGGGACGGACTCGCCTTTCTAACCCATACGGGGGTGGGAGAGGCCATCGAGTAGATCATGGATACCTCATCTCCAGGTTCTCCCCCTTTCCCCTCAGCGTCCCCTCCTCCTTTCCCTTAGTTCCTCCTCCATGCTCCGTAGTGCGGACATACCCCTGCAGCTTTAGTGAGAGGGGGTTCGTCGTTTATCTGATCACGCCTCAGGCAGCCACTTACTCTATCTGAAAGGGAAGTTGTATGGTGGCTCCGGTGACGGCGTTACGCTCAACGAACTCTAATCCTACTAATCAGGCCATTCTCACCATAGCCACCCGGATTGCACTCCGGCTGCCCTGGTAGCATTTGATACGGTTGAACATATCACACTCGCCGGATCATACATGCGCGTCAAACCAGTCGGAAACATCATGACGCGGCCCTGGTAGACACATCCCGTATCCCAAGGACCCGCCATCGTATCATTCAAAGACCTCAACAGGGACCATGCGGTTTTGTTGCCATGGCCCATAGTCGGATCCAAGACCATGGTTCGATGGCTACCTTCGGATCGACGACCAGTGTCAGTGCCGCCCATGTCCGACTGGGTACATTGCTCGATCGAACGAGTCCTTCCCCCCAGTTATGCATGACCCTAGTCCGGGTGGCTGGCGAATAGATAGAGCAACTGTTGCAAGCGCCAACGATGCCCGTCAAGTGTGGGATAGCCTGTAGCTGCAATAACATCCCAATTAACAAATTACTAGCTGCGCTTACACTCCTGCCAACTCGGGCAGTAGTATGCTTGTGATCTTGTACGTTAATAGCCATTGTTCTGTGTGGTCCCAATTTTTAGACATAAGCGAGCCGGTGTAGATGTCTCGAAGGATGTGTAGTATCTACCCAGCCACCTACTGGGTAACTAGAGATGTATCTGATCGAATAGGAAAAAGTAATGATGGCGGCGGCAGCAGAAGCGACAGCACTCCGGGCGGGAGAGCGGGAGAGAGGACGAGCGGGCTGGCTGGCTGACTCGCAGCGTCAGGCACATGACCATGATTACCTCACCCATGCGATCCAGATCAAGCGCTAACTGCTCTGTACACTCCCAGTCAGAGTAAGTTACTTTGTCACTAACTCAAACAGGCGAGCGATGAGGGGTGAGGGGAAAAGCCTAAGCAGCTCAGGCTCAGGCCACACAGCACACAATACACACACCGAACAACAACCAACAAAATGTGCATCGCAAGAGCGTCCGGTCCGCTTGGCATCAAGTGGAATGAGGTGAGTGGCGTTCTCGCCTCGCTCAACATTTTCGCTGTGATTGGATCGCACGCAAGGTCTGAAACTGAGCCGATCCAGACTTGAGCTTCGGCATTACTCCGGTCATGCCCGGAAAAACCACCCTGGCAGGGTAAAAGTGCCGAGGAAGTATCCGGCCGACTCTGAGCGTCCCGGATTCGGCGGGAAGATCTGCATGCGGTCGTTTTGAGTTCTTTTCTGCTCTGTAGGACCCGTAGGGATGCTTTCCGTCGAGGGGCTAAGGACTTTAGCGCTGCTGAACTAGTCCACGTACGGAGTTTAGTGGCATTATATCACTATTATGCTATTATCACGGCGCCTGTTGGTTTTCATTGTTCAGAGATTGGACTCGGACCAGCCACGCTGCGCGCTTGTGCCTGCTTATCCCTGCCACGTAGATAGTACGGAGTACACAGGAGAGATTCTATCGATCTGTTGTGGTGAATGTACTTTCGGGCCTGCACACAGTCCTTTTGTTGAGGGCGGCGGTGTCCGTAGGATCTATATATGGAACTCGACGCAATTTGATGTAGGTACGTGTCGGTACGAAGTAATCGACATCACATATACTAGGCGCTTGGCTACTATTGCAGCCGGGTAGAACTCCGTACCCAGTAGCAGTGAATACCAAGCCCGAATAGTCCTTTCATGCCTGACACAGTATGGTGGGCGGAGAATGGCGGACAGCATTATGCCTACCTACTGTGTACTCCCTGGTCCAACTAGTCCGCAAGTGTCTCACAAGCGAAGCCAAGCTTTAGGACGATAGCAGACTGGCGGCGATCGGTCGGACAATTTCTCGTTGAGCCATGCTGTTAAGCACCTGGTTTAACCTCTGGCTATGCGCTGCCTAAGGACCAACAGCGTCTAGTGCGCCTTCTCTCGTACGACAGCCAGTGTGTGGACTGGGTCTTTCTCGAGATCTCCCACACCGCCTTGCTTGGTGTCTCCGTAGAAGTTTCCATGAGCGGGCCATCGGCTTCGTTGGTGGAGTCCGGTCGCCGTGATCGGACCGCCACATTGGGCGAGGTGCAGGGTAGTACCGGGAGGCTACCACTGGATGCATCATGTTGGTCTTACCGTGTCCGGGAAGGCGTCTCGCAGTGGTGCTGACCGGCGTGAGAACTGCGGGCGCCTGTTCCTTGGAACGCCAGCGTAAGTGGCAAGTCGGGCGAGATGTTGCAGAACCATCATCCACCGGCTTAAGAGCAAGCGCTAGTCTAGCTAATTATTATTATTTGTTGTGGTTGAGCGATATATCCGATCGCTAAGGCGAGGATGGGGACCGACAACTCCTAACAACATGACAGACAAATAATGAATCTAGTATGGGGAGAATACCAGGTTAGCTGTGCGAATTCCATCCAGCCGAGCGCAGATTGCAAGATTACTTAGTTTTCGTTCCGCACACATTAGTAATGATAATACCGGGTTGGTAAGATAGTCGGTAGGTATTGGATGGTACGGGGGGTGTATGACGGCATGTTTCCTTCACGCTCCCGTAGTGCTCCGTGGCCACGAGCGCGAGGCACTCATCCGAATGTAGTTAATGTTATCCCCTTTTGAGAAAGAAAGAAAGAAGGCAAAATAGGCTTCCGCATTTGCAAGCTGACGGAACTCTCCTCCGCGCAATTCCGCCATGCATCGTCAATTTCGCTTTTCACAGTACGACTCCATACTGGACTGCGTACTGCAGTAAGCCTCCTCTGAGTTTGTGAATCGCTGCATGCTGTGTGACCCCTGCCGGGTGGTCAGATCAGATAGCTCCGGGTATAATACGGAGAAGCAAGTGCAGCGATTCCACTCGCCCGCCTAAGCCAGAGGTCAAGGTCCACAATCGAAGCGGGAGAAGCTCCCAGCGAAAATCTCCTGGTGGAGAACAGCCGCAGTCTTGAAGTCTAAAAGAGGGACCCATCATGATGAAGAATCGTTGATCTGAGGAATGATTTGTAGCTTAACAGCCATGAAAATCGAATCGTCCTGTTCGCTGCTCTGATGTCCCCTTCCGGAACTCGAGATTGAACGCCAGCAGCGATTGCAGGAATGAGTTGATTATGATCCATCATACCTCCGGTCGAAAGTGGCAAGGATATGCAGCGCCGAACCACGGGTTACGCCTGGAAAATGTGGTATTACTCGGCCCTCCGAAATCACAATTTCCAAGGCGTAATCAAGCTGTTAGGGGTGGCGCACTGGCATGGATGGAACAAGGTGCGTGGCCTCCTCGACTTGCCAATTGGCCGGATTTCCTGCCACTCCCCGAAACGCAAAAGTACCACGCTTGCGGCCTGCAGTCTAGAAGCTCCATGCAGCCGGTATATACCTGAGGCGTTCAATCAATGGTCGGAGACCTGCCGGTGGTGTGTGTCTTTGCGCTGAACATCACTTGTCCTTAAGCGTGGGATTTTCATTGCCAGGAGATTTGGAGGGTAGCCTGAGTGATCTGAACGCCGAACCTGTAATCTCAGGATGTCTCAGGAGGCACACACACACACATATACCCTGCTTTGAGAGCCCGTCCAGCGCGGCTTACGCAAGTCCGAAATAATACCTAGTTCGCAAAAGCAAACCGAGCGCATGATATGAGTAATAGATGCAGGCTCAGCCGTTGAGTCGTTGCTTGTGACACCACCGTTAGACTAACTCCTGTCACTTCTTAATAGTGACCGTAGGAAATGATTAATAGACAAAGATACAAAACAATGGGTAGCATAGTGCTATGGCTGCATGGGAGTTGTAGCCCGCGGCAAGAGACACTTAAAATGTGAACCACTATCAACTTTAAAGAAAGGTACCTGACTGCTGCGGACAACCCGCAGTTGATATAAATACCGGTGATGGGGAAGTGCAGGATGGGAGGCCCCATAAGGATCCCCATCGGATGTCACACATTATGGAGTATTGATGGAGTATATACTTCTAAAATCGAGATTGACAGCCGTGGAGTAGAGTGGGCAACTCTACCATTGTTCCCAGCCGTGAAGCTCAGGTCCAAGCCAGGATGCCACTCCACTTCGAACAAAGATATCGCGTTGATAAGGTTTCCTGCCCCTACCTAACTTATGTGGGATTGTGGATGTGCCATGAGGACTGAGCGCCCCAAGGAGCCAATATCGAGCAAGCGGGCCTGTCAACTGCGGAGAAGGGATGCAGAATTCCATCCGCCTCATGACATCAAGCATACTACAAAGTAGAAGACTCCTTCTGTCTCCAACATGATGAGAGATCCCAGAGTTCGTCGAGAGACTCTGCTGCACCCAGGCCAATATGATGCCTCGGTGATTTGTCCAGGCTCAAAAGGGCAGTCGAACGCGACCGGACGGAGCACTGCCTGCCCACTAACTAATTCCTACTAGTAGTAGTTTCGAGTATGTACCGAAACAGGGACGTTACTTACTGCTCTGTACTGGCGGTCGGCATGCATCTATGAAGTATGTAACTACAGGGGTACTTACGAGATTCACTAAGCTTTCGAGACCAAAGCTCCGGCTTTACGCTTTGTCGGAAGCTCAATCTTACGGCGGGCATGCAGCAGTCTTAGACCTCCCGCCCCTCCATGACTTCCCACCCCCTCATTGCCAGGAGAACTGATTTGCTATGTTGCTGCTGTATCTACATAGTACCTGCTACTCTTCTTTGTTCCTTCCACCCGGTCTGGTGCCTTGGGTAGTCCTCTTAAGTCATGAAGTTCGGCCCTGGCCCTTCTTCTCCCCGGGGGGTTCAAAACCAACAGGCGTAAAATTACGGTCTTCGTTGCGATGGGTTGTAACGATCGAGACGCGGACATCGAACTGTCCGACTCCGTTCTGCATAGTTCAGAATATTCCTTCCTTGACCATATTCTCATAACTACGTAGGCAAATAAAAAGAGAATTAACTCTTCGTTATGCTTGACGCTTGGCCTAGAACAGTTCATGCGTTTCTCCGCTTGCGTCCGCGCAGTCTCTGGTGCGATGTGATTGGTAGGCTTTAGGGCCGGTAACAACAAGTTCCTGCCAGGTATCTTTCCCGTGGCTGTCCGCGGCGAGGATACGATCGAGTACATCGGGGTCTGTCTTTCGGTACACGCCCGATGTGTCTCCCATCCAAACCAATCTGTGACACAGAGGAAGCCTGACCAAGAAATCCGAATAATTAAAATACATTATGCGATGAACGAACTAGCCAACCAGCATCGTCGATCGAAATAGCGCCTTCAACAATTTTCCCCTGCTTGCCGCTGGTGCCAACCAAAATCGACTTGTGCTCTGCTGAGGGCTTTCCTTACCCTTCCGGAGTCTACATTTCGGAAAAGACTCTGATTGTTGAGCCGATCTTGCCGTCTCTTGGGCGGCAGAAAGTTTACAGAACCGTTCCTCTTCTCGTGGTTTAGAATTCCCAGTGCCAAAGGCACTGCTGAAGTCTACCGAAGCACGCAGATCTTGGTTAACGTTTTCAACATCGTTGTACCCAAAAGGTAAAGCGACCAGAAGGAAACACAAAAGTAGGATAGTCTAGTTTGCAGAGAAAATGCAGACCTTGTTCGGCTCTTGACTGGGTTTCGGAAACCGGACGAGGCACGAATCAGGTCAACGGCAACCAGTAACCGTCCCAAACGTTGGGTGCTGACTGAGTAGAAAACGATGCTAATAAAATCATAAAAATAACTAATATTTTCCGTTATAATTTTTTTAATAGCATTTTCCCTTTTTTTCCATATTTTCTTTTTTTTACCTACATTTTTTTTTTTCTCTTCATCCTTTACGGTTGTCGCCTCCCAGAGTTACGATCGTCACCGCCAATCCCCAGTTAACCTTCAATTAGTCGTGATTTCTTTCCCTCTTCCACTTTTTTCCTTCTTTGCCTTTAGTAGTAGGTTAGTGTGTCAGTTTTCGCTCTTCCGATACTGAGGATAATTTTTTTTTCCCCTAACATTTTTTTTTTTCCTCCTTCACCCACTTAACTTTGTGCCGCCGCCGCCGTTCGTCGCCCCCCCTTCCACCCCCCCCCTCCTCCCTCCATTCCCGTGACTACCCTAGGGACGGCTACCTTGGGTGTTCCCTCTTGGAACAAATTTTCCTAAGCTTTTTTTATTTTATTCTATTTTATTTTATCATTCTTTTTCGTTTTCTTTTTTTGCCCTCTTGTTCTACCATCCCCCCCTTACTTTTCACTCTTCCTTCGCCCTGTCTCCGCATCTATACGCGTTGTCCCTGGCAGTTGTGATCTTCCCATCAGAGTCATCCTGGTCAATTTCGCGCGATTGTTGACGCGAAGCAAAAATTGGCTAGCGAAATTTCCCTCTAGCACTGCTGATTGTGTTAGACCCACTTACACGCCGCCTCCCTGGTGGATCAGAACCATTGACTGTTTTGACAACGTGCGGATAGTGAGAAGTTCCCACACAACTCGAGTTTCTGGTGGGTGACCGTGGGGAATTCAGATTAAGCATCTCGACCTCTTTCCTGACCTCTTTTCTGCAGTGGAGTCGAACTTGATCCTGCACGTCTATCGTCGACCTTGAGGATCCTTGAGCGTCGATTTGCTTATCGAACCTACCTCTTCCGCGAATCTCATCGTCAATTCTCCGCATCAGGTGGGAGGATTGTTCATTTGTCGGAACAAGCAAAGGAAAAAAAGGATCCAGAAGTCACAATCGAAGAGAAGCGAGCACACAACTCCGGACTGGAGAATTTTGCGAGCGAAACGCGATCAGGATTTGAACAAGGTGGCATTGGCAGTCTTTTCGCATCCACGGAGCACTGCCTTGGTCGCAAGACACATCCTACGAAAAGGTTTTCTCGCCCTGCGATCAATGATCGAGATATCGTGAAATCTCCTTTCGCCAGTCTCTTACCCCAATTCTCTTCTCCTCCCTCCGTCCCCTCCTTCCGTGTTTGAAAGCCTCTCCGCGTTCAAGATGGATCCCAGATCTCATCCTTCACGGCCCCCATCCACCAGCCTACCCCAGGGCTCCACGCCTTTGTCCTCGACACCCATCTCGAGCATGCCCATGCCTCAGTACACCATGCAGCCTCAATACCCTGTGTCCCAGCCGCATACTCTCCCCCCGCTGCAGCCTCATCACAGTCAATCCCCTGCCCCTCACTCCTACATGGGCCAGCCGTACCGGCCGGATCTGTCGAGGTATCCCGCATCTACTCACGATGTCTACGCGTCTTCCGCGGCTCCTATCATGCCTCACACCACCGTGGGTAGCCTGCCTCCCTCCTCGTTCCTGTCCCACCCCAATCCGCAGGCTCAACCCCAGCCGTCGCAAGCCTACCCTCCGCCTCATAGCGTGCTGCCTCCCGCGTCCAGCGCGCAGACCTATCCCCAGCCGATTGCGCCGGCGCCTCCGCGTGATCGTCGCTCGGACTTCTCCGGTCTTCCGTCGGGTGCTTTCAGCTACTCCGATAACAAGGGATCGCCTTGGATGAACCCCGACCCTGTTGCAGGTGCAAACGGTGCTCCCCCGTATGCTGCGAAGGAACCACCTAGGACACAGGTTGTTGGGTCGCAGGGCCGCCGCGGAATTTTGCCGAGCGTTCCGGGACGCGCGACTCCCGTCACGAACGGTGTCAATGGTACCGCGAAGAACACTACTATTCCGGCCAAGGATGCGGATGGAAAGTTCCCTTGCCCGCACTGTAACAAGACCTATCTCCATGCGAAGCACCTGAAGCGCCATTTGCTCAGACGTGAGTGCCCCTCTTTCCATCTGAATAATATGATAGCGCATGGCGGGGATCGAATTGTTCCGATGACTAATCTATGTTTTTTTCGGTAGACACTGGAGACCGTCCGTACATGTGTGTGCTCTGCAAGGATACCTTCTCTCGCAGTGATATCCTCAAGCGCCACTTCCAGAAGTGCTCGTTGCGCCGCGGTAACCCTACTGGGGCGACTCACCTGTCGCACCCTCAGGCACACTTGAAGCGGTCTCAAGCTGCGCAAAACGCCGTTAAACCCGTTCAGGATGAAGTCAACACGACCGTCCCGCATCCCAACGGTATGCCGGGTGCTACGTATGGCGAGGCGCCCGTGAACGGCAATGGCATGGCTCCCGGTCGCCCCGGATATCCGGAACAGCAGCCTTTGGGATTTTCCATGCCTTCCGTTAATGGGATGAACCGCGGTCAGCCCGAAGACGCGTTCCCCGGCGGACAGCCTCACCAGCGTGGACCTTGGCTTGCTGCTCCCAAGCAGAACCCATACATGGTGCAGCCTGGCGCAGATGCAAATGGCCAGCAGCTGAATGTTGATCGTCCTCCTATTGAGCAGGTAAAGCCCCCGGTTGTTCAAGACCCTAAACGTCCTGTCATGCCTGGACCTCCCAATCACGCTGGCGAAATTGACTGGACTTCGATGTTTCAGCCCGGAGCGTCCGACGGTTACATCAATCCCGTCTTCCCCCAGACCATGGCGTCCGGCCAGGAGCCTATCCACGCTCACGTCGATACCGAACGCAAGTTTTACCCCACCACCACCGCTGGTCCCCAGGAGGGTGGGATGAACGGTCTTTACCTGGCTTCGACCACGTTGAGTGGCGACGGTAAGTGAAGGAGTCCCGGAACTCAACTCCTGCCCCTGCGTATGGATGACGGCATGCTAATCCCCGGATCCCAGGTACCGTCCAGCCTGCTAGGCAATAGTGGTGACTTGGAAGTGGATGTCTTGAGCTGACCACGTTGAGCTTGATGTGTATAACGTCAAGGGAGACGGAGCACTGCGGCCATAACGAACGGTTACAAATTTGTCTTACTAACTGGGTTACGTTGTCAAACGATGTTATGCATCAGTCTAGCGATGTCTTGCAATGCTAGTCATTTGTCTGGGAGTATCTATGGGGACGCTTCTCCGATCATGCTGATGATGCTCTTACACAAGGGTTTACATGCTATGCGGTTTGGCACCTTATCAGTCTCCTGGATCATGCGCATGAATCCAGCCTGGAAGTCACATGAATGATTATCGAGGGTTATCCCTATAAAAGAAAAAAATATGAACCGGAAAATGAAAGGGAAGGGAAAGAAAAAAAATACAGATAGAAAAAAGCTCGTTTCGGCCACCGACTCCGCGCAGCGCGCCACAGCGTTGGTCTAGATTACAGCATCCGGATTACTCATTGTTATGAAAACGTCTTCTTTTGTCCTACTGGGTTATCTGGTCGTCCATTGTTTATTTGAAAAATCTTGTGAGCATTTTCTACGGCGAGTGCAGATTTGCGGTGA